AGAAGTAATGGGAGGTAAGGATGGACATGGAGGATGGATGTAGGAAAGAACAATAAAAATAATAAAAGAAACGACTATGGGCATGGCGCTATGCTAACAGCATTACACGGCATTAACTCAGTTAATCCTCTCAACAACACTCTGAGGTAGGTACAACCCCATTTTTACGAGGAGGAAAATAAGGCACGGATAGATGTAATACCAACTTAAGGTCCCAGGACTCAAACCTATGCTGTACACCAGAGCCACCATGAACACTGGGCGTATGGCTATGTGGTACACACAGAAGGTGGAAGAGGTGGGTAGGAGGGAGAGAAGATAGAAGAATGGATAAACAGAGCAGGTGGGCAGTTAGATGGATGAACCATTGGAGAGGAAATAATTGGAAGAAGAGGGGAGAAGGGAAGAAGGGAGGAAGAAGACATATATAAAAAGACCAGTGGGAGGGTGGAAAGACGAATGGGTAGGTGGATGTGTTCGGTATGGATGAATGACTTGGTGTGTTGGACAGTATTCTGGGATGAACTGAGAAAGTAAAGGGGATCAGGAGTGAGGGTGGGAGAAAAGTTAAGTGAATAAATGAATGGAAAGATAGGTGAAAGTATGAATAGATTCATGGTGAGGAAATGGGTGTGTTAGCACGTAGGTGGATGAATGAATGAAATCAATGGATATAGTGAGCACAGATAGATGAAAGGATGGGTGGATGGATGGGCAGGTGGATGGATGGATGGATGGATGGATGGACGGGCAGGTGGATGGATGGATGTGAGGATGAGTGGATGGGTGGGCAGGTGGATGGATGGATGGCTGGCTGGGCGGGTGGATGTATGTATGTATGTGAGGATGAGTGGACAGATGGGTGGGTGAATGGATGGATGGATGGACGGATGGGCGGGTGGATGGATGGATGGATGGATGTGAGGATGAGTGGATGGATGGATGGGTGGATGGACGGATGGATGGATGGGTGGGTGGATGGATGGATGGATGTGAGGATGAGTGGACGGATGGGCGGGTGGATGGATGGATGTGAGGATGAGTGGATGGGTGGGCAGGTGGATGGATGGATGGATGGATGGATGGATGGATGGATGGACGGATGGGCGGGTGGATGTATGTATGTATGTGAGGATGAGTGGACGGACGGGCGGGTGGGTGGATGGATGGATGTGAGGATGAGTGGATGGGTGGGTGGGTGGGTGGGTGGGTGGATGGATGGATGGACGGACGGACGGGTGGATGGATGGGTGGATGGATGGATGGGTGGGCGGGTGGATGGATGATGGATGGATGGGTGGGCGGGTGGATGGATGATGGATGGATGGATAGACGTAGGTACATATGTATGAATGGATGGATGGGTGATATTCAGAAAGGAAGGAGTGGGCAAGTATGTATAAACAGAAACAGACACAGTATCCTTCCCCCTAATCTATTCTTTCTGACTGCCCTGTCACCGAGAAGTCTCACAGCCTGTGTCCTCATTGCAATCTGCTGCTCCTCTCTGCCACCATCCCCGCCCTGGTTCAAGCCATGTGCCCTCTCGCCTGGACCACCACACCGGACCCTCACTCCTCCCTGCCTCTGGGCTTGTCTCATCCCCTCCCTCCACCCTGGCTGCAGAGTTCACAGCTCTGATCACCTTTCCCTTCCGTGTCCCCCATACCCTTCCCATGGAACTCCAAGTCTTTCACTGCACGGCCTCAGTCTGCCTTTCCTGGACCATCTTCTGCTCCCCACTAAGGATGGGGCCCTGCTGCTCCCGACTGCCCAACCCTCGTGTCTTAGTTTATGAACTCCTGTCCCCTCACCCACGCTTCAAGGCCCGGGTAAATGCTGCCTCCCCCAGAAGTGTCCGGGGCTGAGCCCAACCTCACGCCCAAGCTGGGAGTGAAGTGTTCTTCTCCTGAAACGTTTGGTGCGTATGCATCTTCCCATGCACCCTCTGTCCATCCACCCATCCCTCCAGCATCCTTTGCCCCCCAACTTGGTCAGCCCTGCCTTGGGTCAGGAGTGGGCAGCTGTGGTCAGTGCGCGGGCTCTCTGATGGGGAGGAAGGTTCGGCCAGAGGGAGGCAGCAGAGCCTTTGGGGGTGGGGGCAACCCGGGCGTCACAAAGGCCCCAGGCTGGGGGCAGCCAGGCGCACCCAGGGAGCTCGCTTAGGGAAGGGGTTAAAAGTGGGTCATGCCGGGCCTTGAATGCCAAGATGAGGAGGCTGGACTTCTCCAGGCCGAGAAAGGGGAGCCGGGGGCCATGGTGAGCACCTCGTACAGACTGCACAGACGGAGACCTGGCCTTCTGCGTCTGAGCCATCCCCAGACACCATGCCGAGCCCACGAGGGTGCCCCTGGGGGCAGGGCGTGCGGGGACAGACGGGGACAGCTAGAGACACAGCGCTTCTTTCTCACCCACCGAAGGCCAGCCTCCGCCCTACTTCTGTGCTTATTTGAATGTTGTTTTGTTTTGCTGTGTTTTGTGAACGGATGAGGAAATGGGCTCAGTGAAGCGAGAGCACTGCTTTTAAGAGGCCACGCGGGGAGTTAGCCGAGGCCTCCTGACCCCAAGGCCATCAGGTGCCCTTGGAAGTGCCCAGGACGGCTGCAAATGATGTAGGATGTAGCAGCCCAGGAGACGCACAGCTGGACGGACAGATGGACGAATTCCCAGGCGTGGGAGCCGTGCCAGCCAGGTCTGTCCTCCCCTCTGCCCTGGACAGAGGCAGCTCGCCTTGCTCACCCCTCCCAGGGAAGCCCCAAGCCTTTCTGCCCTCGCTAATGCCCAGGAAGGATGTGAGGGAGCAGCCGGGTGCAGGCGCAGTGAATCCCCTTCTGCCTCTAGAAGCAGCAACTCCCACCCCGCACTGCAGAGCGGATCCTGAACCATTCAGAAATCTGTGACCTACCTACAACCCGCAGCAGATGGGCCTGCCCTGCGCCAGCCAGCTGCCCACAGGAGCACACGCAGCCGGACCCAGGTCCACAGGCTACTCGTGGGGCCAGGCAAGAGGGCCCAGGGAGGCAGAGCTGAGGCTGGCCTGGGGGCTTCACCCCCAGTTCCCAGGGACCCCTGCACGCACACACAATACACACATGCACACACATGCACACACATCCACAATGCATTCTCACACCCATATGCAGGCATATGCTCGTGCACACACATGCAACACACATATGCACACTCATGCATTCATACTCCCACACACAATTATACACACATGCACACTCACCCACACACTCAGTTACGAGTGCACTCTTATGCCTACACAGTTCATGCACACACACAAATGCTCACACCTATATGCAGGCACACACTCGTGCACACACGTGCCACACACTCACATATGCACACCCATGCATTCACACTCCCACACAATTACACACGTGCATGCTGACACCTATATGCGTGCGCACACAATATGCACAATTATACACAGGCACACCCACACCCCTACATGCATGCTCACACACATAATTACACACACGTGCACACTCACACCGACACACTCATACACTTACAAATGCACTCTCATGCCTACACAACTCATGCACACACACACACACACACGCTCACACCTATATGCAGGCACACACGCACACAATGCAACACATTCACACCTATATGCACACACACTCGTGCACACTCACACATGTGCCCACACTCACGCACACTCAATGGACACGGTGTCATGTGGTGGAGCCCAGGGCTGGGTACACAGACCTGGATTTGAAGGCGGTGGGTGACCGTGATGCCAATGATGAGTCAGGAGGACAAGACGACCAGGTGGCCAGAGCTTGTGAGGCCAGGGCAGGGGGCTCCGTGCTCAGAGACGCACAGAGGCAGAGCAGTCCCAGCACCTTCCCCCAGGCTAGCCTCTCGGGCCCAGCCCCTCCTCGGCCTCCAGCAACCCCCCCACCCCGCCCCGTGTTCTGCCCCCGCCCCGCCGGGCAGCTGCAATCAGTGAAATGCGCCTGGCCTTGGACACTCAGATCAGGGCTCGGGAAAAGTGATGATCTGGCGAGACGTGAGCCAGGCCCTTCCGGGGTGGCGGGAAGGGAGCGAGGCCCTGAGTCTACCCCTCCCTTCCTCCTGGTTGGGCTCCAGCAGCCCCAGGCTCTTGGGTCCTTACACATCTGCGTGGATCTCCCGACCCCAAGACCCCAAGTGCGAGTCAATCACAGCTCCCCTCCTGTCATCTCAGTCCACTTCTCTCCACTTTGCCCCCACCCCGGGGGGGATGGGGTCCTGTCTGCCTGGGACACTGCTGTGCGCCCAGCCAGCTCCTCTCACAGCAGCAAGGGGCTTCTGGAAGCTGTATACACTCAGGGCGTGGAGTCAGGGTGTATGGGACACCCTCACACCTCCCTCCCCCGGGCTCCTGGCTCCCACAGAGCCTCCCCCGGGACGGACCATCTAGAAACCGTGTGTGAGGGGAGACAGAGCAGTGGCTGGGGGTCAGCACCCCCGTCTGTCTGTCACGGCCTCCCTCGGAGCGCCTGCCTGGCATCAGGTTCCCTGCAAGGGGCTTGGACAAGAAGGTCTCCAGCAGTGACGTCACCCCTCCTCATGTCAACAGGGGAAGGATTCCAAGGCCTCTTCATCTCCCTGCTGGCTCCATCCCTATGCCTAGGGACAGTTTCACCCAGGCCTAATTCCCACGTCCCCCGCCCAGGGGACAGGACACCGAGTCCCAGGTCCCCACCCCACAGACCAAACTCGCTGTGCACAGACCCTGGCCCTGAGGACCCCGAGCCCCGACAAGACACCCTGGAAGGTTCCCCAGCTCAGGTCAGGATGGGCTGGCTCTCCCTGCCAGCCCCGAGCTGGCTGCCATCCGTGTCTCGCTGGGTCCCCCACCATCCTTCTATCCCTCAGCCGCTCCGCTGCACCTGCTGCACCCATGGGCTTCTCTGCGAGGGAGGGGGCAGAGCGATGCAGCCGGCACCCACGTCTCCTGCTCCCCCTGCCCCCCTCCTCCATCCCCGCCCCCCGCTCACTTTGAGGGAGTAGGCCAGGGCGATGAAACCCAGGCAGCAGAAGTTGAGGTAGACGAAGTTGAAGATGGACCACAGGTAGTAGTCGTTCACCTCCGCGGTGTCGGGATAGACCTCGATGACTGCCGTGGGGTTCGTCATGGTCTTCTTCTCTGCTAGGTGCTTGCAGGCCTGGGGGGCGCTGGTGGCCCGCACGCTGTCTGTCCTGCTGCTCTTAGACTCCATGGGGAACAGGGTGGGTGCCATGGGGGGTGAGGCTGAGGGCTCAGGCCCGGGGGCCACTGGAGCCTGCAGGGCGGGGGGCTTGGACACGCAGGCGAAGCAGCCCTTGGGCGAACCCGCCGGGGGCCTCGGGATCCAGAAGGCCCCGTCCAGGGGAACTCGGGCTTCCTGGGTGCCGTCCGTGGTGCTGGCCGGGGCTCCCAGCGGGGCTGGGCACTGGCTGGAGCCCTGGGCCTGCAGGGAGGGGAAAGGAAGGATGAGCCGGGTCCGGACCACCCTATTGGGCCCACCCTGGCACCCTGCGGTGTCTCCCCTTTGGCCCCATAAACAGCCCCCCAGGACAATCCCCACCCGCCGCAGATGCCGGAGCCCTCACAGCAGCCTTGGCAGGGACGTCGGGGGCTTTTCGTCACTTCGCCATCTGCGCACAAACAGTCACCCACTGACACACAACAGCAGCGCTCCCCCCAGCATCCCGACTGGCACACTCTTGCGGTAAACAGAGCAACCAGCACCCCCAGACAGCCCGGCACACACAGGGCACGCAGACCCACAATGACACAGCCTCAGTCACTCTTTGGCGGAAGGAGGAGAGCTCCCCGGAGCACCTGCGCGCTGGCTCCCGCTGTCACACCGGACACAAACGCCAACACCACCACCCGGCTCCCCAGACCCCGGCACACGCCGAGCGCTCAGAGACGCCGCCAGGTAAACAACCCCGCACTGTGACACTCACACACACCGCGACACAGGCCCCGACACGATCCCCCGAGGATGAACACGGCGGCCGCTGGGGCTCCGAACCCGCGCGCATCGCCCCCTCACACCCCGGCCCCGAGCGGCGCCCGGACCCCAAGAGCGCGCACTCGCCGCGGGCCACTCGCCCCGTGCCGGGAACGGACGCACAATGACACTCTGCGAAACGAACACTCTCCGACGAGGCACCCGCGACCCGCGCCGCCCCGAGGGTCCGCAGCCGAGGCCCCGCGGCCCCGCAGGCCCCCAGCCTGACCCGGGTCTGCCGCAGCCGCCCGGACGGCGCGCCCTCACCTACTGGCGAATCCTCGGCGGCCTGGCCCGACCCAGCGCCGCGCTCCGCGCGTCCTTCCGCCGTCCCGCGGGTGTCTGGCTGTCCCGCCGCTCCGCGTCCCGGCGGCCCGACCTCGGCGCGGGAAGCGCGCGGGGTGGCGGTGGGGAGGGGCGCGGGGTGGCGGCGCTGCCTCCGCAGCGCCAGGCCGGCCGCCGGCTGCAGCCCAAGCCTGACTCACGTTGGCGGCGGCGGCGGCGGGCGCAGCCACCTCCCCGCCCCCTCCCGCCGGCTGGGTGGGGGCAGCGGGCGCCGGCCGGAAGCGGCGACCCTCGGGGTGGCAGAGCCGACCAGGCACGGGTTCCGCTGCAGCGCCAGACCCCGGTGCCCGCGCCACCCGCGTCTCCTGGACACCGCCCCCTGCGCCCTCCCTCTTGCTGAGCCCCCAGCCCCTCGCTGAGTCTTCGCATCTGTCTCCCCAGGGGAGAGCCCCTTCCTCCTTCTGTGCTCCCCCTCCGCTCCCCCCGCAGCTCCCAGGACCGTGTCAGAGCCCCTTCCCCCTTGGGTGCTGCCCCTTCTCCGCCTGTTGAGTTTCCTGCTCCCCCCGGCTCTGTCCGCACCTCAGTCCTGGCCCTCCACCCACCCCGCAGTGCCAGGCCCGGTGGGTGTCTGGGCCTCCCCAAGCCCCTCCACCCACAGAGCCCAGGTGCCTCCAGCCTGTCCTCACCAAGCGGGTCCTCATGCCTAGCCCGGCCACTGTCTGCTCTCCTGTCCCCGCACGACCCTAGACCCTATCCAAGCCCCCTCCAGGGCCTCTGTCCTCCTTGAGTCTCTGGCCCCTCCCAGCCCCCAGACCCCAGCTGCAGTCTCTCCCTGAGCAGGGTGCACCTCCCCAGGCCCCCACCGGAGTGCCCAGCTCTGCGCAATCCCATCCCTGGCTGAGGCCCCGCCCCCAGGCCGCCCTCACAGCCCTGTCCTTCCTGAGCCCACCCCCGTTGGAGTTCCTGCCCCCATATTTTCCCCAAATCGGACTCACGGGCGCCCAGCTCAGAGCCCCTGAGCTCCACGCTCGATAACGTGACTGCCCGCCAAAGTCCAGTCTTGAAGACTGTGACCCGTCACCTGTTGGAACCCTTTGCCCCTGGGACCAGGTGTCCCTCTCCAAGCCCCTGTGACACCGGTCTCCTTGGAGTCCAGGCCACTCACCTGCCCACGCCTCTCTGCAAGCCCGGCCCGTCTCACCCTGTGGATCTGTCCCCCAAGTCCCTCCCCCACCCCCGGCCTCAGCCTGCTAGCCCCCGTCTACCCCACCTTGCTTTCATTATCTCTTTGACACTTGCCCCCAAGTGGCTTCCCCTTCCTGCAAGAGTCCCAAGGATACCCTCTGCGAAGTAGAAACCCCAGCCCCCCTGCTGCGCCCTGAGTCCCCACTTCACTGCGCAGTGGCCCTCTCTGAGTTGGGTCCTCTTCACCCATCTGCCGGCCCCCATGGAGCCCAGAACCTCCAACCCCGCCACCCCTGAAGCTGCCCTTCTGTGTGGCAGCCTGTTCCCTCCCTCTCCTCCCTTGAACCCCTGTTCTCCCCCCAGGCTGTGCTCTGAGCCCTTCCTCCCGTGAAGCCCGGCTCTGCTCTGACCCTCTCAACCGGCCTCCCTTCCCTCCACGACCCTCTCTCCTCCCGGCCTGGGTCCTTCTCAGGGACCCCTTCTCCTCGGAGTGCTCGCCTGCCTGTGCCGGGCCCTCTCTGAACACTTCTCTCCCCAGTCTCTGTGCGCTCTGAGCCTGAGCCCTTCTCTGCACCCCGGTCCCTGGACACGTCCCACCCCCGCTCCAGGCCCCTCCCCTGCCCCGCCCCCACCCCCTGGCTGACCCTGGTACAGCCTCTTTCGGGGCTGGTCAGGAACCCCGCAGCGCAAGAGCTGGCTTTAAGGATGTGGATAAAACCGTCTTCAAGCAGGCGGTGTTCCCAAGCAAAGCCGGCCCCGCCCTGACCACACCCGCAGCGGGGCCCAGGCCCAGGGCCCACAGGTCTCTCAGGGCAGATGGGGACTGCGGGGAACCGGGGCTCAGTCTCCCTCATCCAAACCCCACTGCCCCTTTCCCAAGGGCCTGGCCTGCGGGCACCAGACCTCGGTCGGGCTGAGTCTGACCTAAGGGGCCCTCCCAGGCTTGTGGGTGGCCTGTGAACTAGGCCACCTGGTGTCCCCTGGGCCAGGCGCTGCCCAGGGCTGTACAGGCTGCTGTAAGCGGCCCACGGGCTGGTCTGCCCCCGCGTCCAGCTGGCCCTCAGGCAGCAGGAGAGGGCGCCTGGCCCACAGGAGCCTGCTGCAGGCTGCTGGGAAGGGGCCGGACTCAGGTGGGCTCCGGAGAGCTCAGCCCGAGGCTGGGTGTCCTCCAGGCGGGAAGCGCCCACCGGATGAGAGCCAGTGTTTGGAGCGTCCGAACGCCAGGCCCTGTGCTGGGGTCCTCATCGTGTCCATCAGGCCCAGCGCGAAGAGGTCCCTGTTGTCACCCTCCTTCCCTAGACAGAGACTCCAGGCTCAGGATCGGGTCACAGAAGCTGGGTCTGAGCCCAGAGTCAAACTGCAGGGTCCGGAGAATCCCGGCCGGCTGAATGGGTCCTCCGGGGGGCAGCGCAGGGCGGCTGCACTGGCCCGACTCTGGGCAGGACATCAACGCCCTGATGGTCTGGGCTAGGGGCTGGGGGCTCGGCCTGCACTAACCCACACAGTGTCCAGGGGTCTGGGGCATCCCGCCACGCTCGTCCCCGTGTTCCAGAAGGGAGGACCCTCCAGCCGAGGGTCGCGGTGAGCAGGGCGGGTGGAGCAGGGGCCCGTGAGTCGGTGAGCCCCTGCTGGCCTCGGGTGGTGGGAGGCTGAGGGGGACAGAGTGGAGAGCAGGCCCGGGATGGTCAACGGGCAGGGGGTGAGGGGAGGGGTGCGTCCTCCCTGGCAGCCCTGTCCTACAGCCCTGCAGAGCTCTGCCAGCTCCCAGCTCGAGTTTCAGGTGCAGAGAACACCGGGCACGTGTTCACGACTCTCGTAATTCTGGAAGGCGCTTGCTAAGGGCTCAGCTCTGGGGTGCAGCCCCCGGGCCCCCTGGGGCCAGGTCAGTGACAGCCACAGCCCTGCTGGCTGAGAAGGCACCAGGATAGCGACAAATATCACATCAGCCAGACCCCTACACCTGCAGGGGGTGGGTTCCAAGGAGTCGTCCAGAGTTACCCATTCCTGAAGAATCTGCCCACCACCAAGTGTTCACAAACTCCTATTCATCCCTCAAACCCCCCTGGCTGTGCAGCTGCTTCTGACCACTCCCGCCTACCCCCACCAAACAGGCCAGACCAGCCAGGAAGTCACTGTGGCCTGAGGGGATTCCTAACTTCAATCCCTGCAACCCCAGGACTCCAGGCTGGCCTGCTCCAGCATCGGCATGGCTCACACACAGAGATACGGCTTCCAGGGGCTGTTGAAGAGGCCCAGATGAGAGGTGGGCTGCCCAGGTGGCACCAGCCTCATCAGGTCTCTTTCCTAGGCCGGAATCATGCGTGCAGGGGGATCAGGGAACACTGCCGGGCCCCACTGCTGGTGGAACATTTTCCAAGGAAACATGGAGGACACTCACCTGGACCTGAAAACCATGCCTCCATGAAGGTACTCACATAAGAAGCCCTGTGCTGTGCCCCACCCTGCTGATCACTGCTCCAGGCCCCCATACAAGCCAGTCCCCCACCAGTGGCGTCTTGGCCACGAGGCTGGGCAGGAGGCGAAAGTCTTGGGGTCTGGGTCTGTGAGCCAGGCCCAGGGCAACCCCAGAGGTGCACCCCAGGGTAGCTGGGTCAGCCCTCCCTCTGAAGTGACAGCAGGGCATCTGCCACACCAGCTCCTTCCCCACCACCCTCCCCACCAAGCACAAAACACGCCGACACACAGTAAGAGGCCTAGACGGATTTTATTTTCATGCCAACTTTGCTCCCGGCAACTCAAGAAGGGGGCAGCCGCAGGGAAGGCCGGCACCAGCCCCCTCCCCTCCTACCCCATCCCCAGGCCAGAGAACACCCTCAATGTCCTCCACAACGGAGTCAAGCCCCAGGATGACCCCACCGAGGCCTCACAGGACTAGCTTTTGTCCCCTGCCACCCCTGCCAGCTCCTTCCAGCTCATCCTCAGGCCTCAGCTGGCCCCTTCCTTGCCGGGTCTAGGGCAGACGGGTGGGGGCCGCAGTGCAGGGCGCCGGGCCCCAGCTGCACGGAGGGGCAACTGAGAGTGCAGCCTGGCACTGGGCGGTACCGGGTGGCCAGGCCCCCGAGGTGCAGGCTGGGGAGGGAACTACCCCGGGGCTGGGGGTCCTAGGATGCACAGCGCCCAGCTTCCAGGTTAGAGAACGGAGCCTGTGCACCACAGCCACCCACTGGCTCCGCCCCCCACCCGCCCCTCCAGCAGACAGACAGACAAGCAGGCAGCTTTTCCGAAACCAGGGAGGGGGAAACCACAGAAGGGAACCCGGGCAGCCTCCAGAGAGCTGTGCTGTGAGTGTGAGTGTGAGTGTGAGTGTGTGGCGGGGTGGGGTGGCCGGGAGGGCAGGGGTGAGGCCTTCTCCTCCTCGACCCTCCTCCGGACTCTGCCAGCGGGCGGGGAGCCAGCTATGGCCTGGCAGCCTCGGCCAGGCCCACCCGGTTCTGGTCGCGGTCGAACACGGCATAGTAGCGGCCGATGAACACGTCGCCCAGGATCCAGAGCGGCCCGCCGGGCGGGGGGATGTCCATGCCCATGAAGCCGCTTAGGCAC